AAATAGAATCTTGACATTTGGGAGTTGTAGTTGCTGGGATTTATAGTTCACCTACAATCACAGAGCATTCTGAATGAACCCCACAAATGATAAAATTGGGCCACACCTCCCACACAGAACCCCCATGAGGGCCACAGCAATGTGCGGCAGGGGACGGCTAGTAAAACCAATAATTGCATACATTTAAAACATTAAATCAATTCAGTTAAAATATGCTTAAATTGTGCCATCGCGCCTGGGGGCTATAGCTCTTAGTGAAAGAGGTATGGACGTTACATCTTTCCCCAGGGGATTGCTTCTTGCCCTCCTTTAGGAAACTGGAACTCTCAAAGACCCAAAACACTGTAGATAACTCAAAATAAGTTTTATTGTTCACAAAGAGTTATCTCTTTAAGGCAATAAGCTGGAAGTTTCAAAGGGGTGAAGGAAAATGTACATTACAGTCTCTGGTTGTTTTGGGTCCAAGAAGTTTTGAAGCAGAAAAGCTTTTCCAGATCCCTCTTTCTCAATGGCTGTAAATGCCGGAGCAATCCACAACCCCAGTCCAGATCGCCTATGTTTGAAGACACAGGGTCTTCCTCTGGTGCCAAATGAACTGGTCTGAAGGCACTTGAGACTTCCCAACATCGTTCAGGTTGGTCTGAACATGAAGCATAAGTCTCAAGGGTAAAACCCTCAGAATTGGTGCTGAGGGGTAATTTAATCAGGGGCATTTAGAGCCAAGTCTCTTACTCACGTCCACCTGATAGAAACTCTGATGGCAGAATAAAAAAGGGAAGCACTCCCCTCCTCCAGGAAGAGGTGGAGCCAAACAATTGAGCTGAGAAAGCAATTCAACTGGTACAAACAACATTGATTGACAGCTATAAATAACCAATCAATCCAACTATACATAAGCAGGGTAAAAAGGCAGGATTAAGCATGATACAACAGTTTAAATCTTGCAACTAACAGTTCTACACATAGGTGGCGCCACCCGCGCCGTCACATAAATATAACAGCCTTATGGCCTTATCTAGCCGTGTTCTGAGATCGGAGACTCCATCAAGCTTGTCCATAGTCCATTACCACAGCAAATTGTCATCACTGTCATTATCCTTATCAGGATAATCACCCGAAGGCCTGGTCCCACATCCACGTTTTCAATCCACGCTATGGAGTCCCAGGAATTGTAGTTTAGTGAGGCACTAGCAAAGAAGGCTAAAGACCTTGTAAAATGACAACTCCCATGATTCCATAGCATTGAGCCATGACTGTTAAAGTGGTATCAAACAGCATTACTTCAACAGTGTGGATGCACCCTGAGAAGAAGTCTCTCTCCAAGTTGGGGCAAGAAAAATGGCTTATCTCTGATCGGTAGCAGGTTAGACATACCTTCTACCACCCGTGCTGCAACCTAACTCAGGGGAAACACTTGCCAGAGCTGATGTGGGACCTCCACATAGCATATCAGGCCTTTAATAAAAGAAATGCTAGCAAAGGGACATCACTTTATGGGGAACTAATCTCAAATAATTAATTCCAGTTAGGTTGATTTAAGGCAAGATGACAGAGTTTCAATAAGGAATTCTAGGTGAACCGAGTCTCCAATAGTCTGCCTGTTCCCATTAGCAAGACTTTCCTCAGGATTGAGCAGGAAATGTCTATCCGAAGACCGGAGTGTCTGTCATTCTCCCTTTATGGAAAGGAGGAAGAGTGTACAGTAATTCATTGTTATTTGGAGTCCATTCTTTTTTGTAGGCAGATTTATTGTAGTTGAGCCTCCTGGACAGATTCATGGTAACTGAGGGGTCTTATGACTGATTAACTGTCCTAAGATCTCCTGGGTGATTTGCTTGTTGCTGTCGTAGTGTCGCATAAAACTGAGTTGCATCTTTTTACTTGTGTGCATGAATTCCCGGTCCTGATCACAAGTTCATGTGAACAGTCTTCAAGATCAGCTTTCCTTCAGCCTGTTGCAATTCACATGTTTTTGGTGAACTACAGATCCCCATTCATCACTGTCAGCTAGCAAGCATCATCTATCATAATCAATCAGAACAGCTATTCACTAGATATGCTGGATTTGGTTTTTTTTTGGTCGTGTCAGGAGTGATTCCTGGTGTGAGAGAATTGGTCGTCTGCAAGGACATTGCCCTGGGGATGCCTGGATGATTTGATGTTTTTTATCATCCTTGTGGGAGGCTTCCCTCATGTCCCTGCATGAGGAGCTGGAGCTGATAGAGGGAGCTCATCCGCCTCTCCCCGGATTCGAACCTGTGACCTGTCGGTCTTCAGTCCTGCCAGCACAGGGGTTTAACCCACTGCGCCACCGAGGGCTTCTTGGTGGATTTGTAAACCAACATATCTGGAGAATGTCTGATCAATAAACTTCTCCAGGTAAACTAACTACTATCCAGGGCTCTCAAAATATGGCATAGAATGGAAAGCAAAGCCTGGAACATCAACTTTGAAAATTAATTTGAGAATATCACATATTAAAAATTAAAAAGTGGAAAATAAATTCTACTTAAACACTAAGTTTGATGAATGCAAGGCTTGATGAATGCAAGGCTGGGGTTAAAACTGCTGGAAGAAACATTAACAACCTTAGATATGCAGATGATACCACCTTGATGGCTGAAAGCGAGGAGGAATTGAGGAGCCTTCTAATCAAGGTGAAAGAAGAAAGTGCAAAAGCTGGGTTGCAAGAACAAGCCTCCCTACGTAAGTGGTACCTAAATTTCTTACTTGACAGACGCAACTGTCTTTCGGGCTGAAAAGGTCGACAACAAGCTACACAAATTGGTCGGAAGCTCCCTTCGACCCAGGATAGCTTTGAAGTCATGACCTTTCGGTCAGTAGTGATCTTAATGCAGCTGACTCCCATCCAGCTGCGCCACAGTCCCAGTGCTTCAATTATGGGGGGAGGGATCCACACAAGGAACATTTTTCAATTAAGAATATCTTCAAGTAGGGAAATCTTCCAAAAACACTATTAACAAAAGACACCAGTACAAGTAAATATATGAAGGAGAAACTGGAGCTGTGCCTGGTGGCCCCATGAAAGATGCTTAGTTTTCCCCTGACTAAACACTTGAGGACCCACAGGTTGAGAACCACTGCTCTATGGCAACAAAAGGAGCATCAAGGGACATTTCAAGACAGCTCACAAGACAGCCCACACTTTCATGTCACTAAAACAACCTAAAATGGAGGAATCCGACATTTCCCATCACACCTTAAAATAAGTGCCTTTAGCCCTTTCTATGCGAATGGGGAGCCCTGGAGTCAGTTGCTTCCTGACTACAAAACCCCGTTTCGATACAATTTAAAGACATTTTAAAGACGGAGTCCCACGGGCAATAGGCGGAGATGCTCTTATGTCATTTTATCAGCTATGTGGGACTTCATCTTTGAAGGGCCAGAGAAGCAGATGGCGGAAACAGAAGAATGGCCTGCCTCAGGGGAGCGTGCTTGCTCCATCCATGTTCAACATCTACACAAATGACCAGCCACTGCCAGAAGGGTCAGAGAGTTTCATCTATGCTGATGATTGTGCCATTACTGCTCAAGCAGGGAGCTTTGAGATGGTAGAACGGAAGCTTTCTGAAGCTCTAGGTGCTCTTACTGCCTATTACAGGGAAAACCAGCTGATCCCCAACCCATCTAAAACACAGACATGTGCCTTTCATCTCAAGAACAGACAAGCATCCCGAGCTCTGAGGATCACCTGGGAAGGAATCCCACTGGAGCATTGCAGCACACCCAAATACCTGGGAGTCACTCTGGACCGTGCTCTTACTTACAAGAAGCACTGCCTGAACATCAAGCAAAAAGTGGGTGCTAGAAACAATATCATACGAAAGCTGACTGGCACAACCTGGGGATCACAACCAGATACAGTGAAGACATCTGCCCTTGCGCTGTGCTACTCTGCTGCTGAGTATGCATGCCCAGTGTGGAACACATCTCACCATACTAAAACAGTGGATGTAGCTCTTAATGAGACATGCCGCATTATCACGGGGTGTCTGCGCCCTACACCACTGGAGAAATTACACTGCTTAGCCGGTATTGCACCACCTGACATCCGCCGGGAAGTAGCAGCCAATAGTGAAAGGACCAAGGGAGAGACATCTCCAGCTCATCCCCTGTTTGGGTATCAGCCAGCACGCCAACGACTTAAATCTAGACATAGTTTTCTAAGATCTACAGAGACACTCGCTGGAACACCTCAGCAAGCGAGAGTCCAAAAGTGGCAGGCTCAAACCCAGCACCTCAACCAATGGCTGATACCAAATGAGAGACTCCCTCCTGGGCACACAGAAGACTGGGCGACTTGGAAGGCATTGAACAGACTGCGCTCTGGCACCACGAGATGCAGAGCCAACCTTCAGAAATGGGGCTACAAAGTAGAATCCTCGACATGCGAGTGTGGAGAAGAGCAAACCACTGACCACCTGCTGCAATGCAACCTGAGCCCTGCCACATGCACAATGGAGGACCTTCTCGCAGCAACACCGGAAGCACTCCAAGTGGCCAGATACTGGTCAAAGGACATTTAACCAACTACCAAACTCACAAGTTGTGTATTTTTTTTCTGTTTGTTTGCTTTGTTCTGTTAGAAATGTAATATAGTGGACTGGTTGCTCTGACACGACAAATAAATAAAGTCTTTGAAATGACTTTAAAGGGTGCAGAAAGGGGGGAAAGGCAGTGTATGATTAGGTCCCTAATCGGTCCTCTTCCTTGGAACCAGCCCTTCCATAAGATTGAAAGATTCCCTAGCTTTTAAATACGTATGATCCTCATTTCCTTCAGCATCTTCTCCCTACTAGGCATTTGGGAACAGCAACTCAGAGCTGTTGGCATAGTTGTGTCAGAGTAGTTACACAATTCTGCCTAGACTGCAACTGAAAACATGCTGTGTCTTCTCTGACAAGTGCGACATGGGGGGGGGGGCAAGCTTTTAATAGCCATTGTGAAAAGAACATGGTCCGTGTGATGCACTGTTATACCTTATCCAGTCGGAGGACTGAACAGCCAGCTGGCACATTGTCAGGCGATGTCGGCTGGAGACCAAACCCTGTAAATGAGAAGATAAACACCATGATGAAGACAGATTATGCAGTAGCAGGCATCCCTAAAAGTAAATCTACTGCTATAACTTCAGTTATCTGATAGACCTGGGTTCAAATTAAGTTCCATCTTAATTCATCATAGAATCATAGAGTTGGAAGAGACCTCATGGGCCATCCAGTCCAATCTCCTGCCAAGAAGCAGGAAATTTGCATTCAAAGCACCTCGACAGATGGCCATCCAGCCTGTGCTGGTACGGCTGTACCAGGAGCTCCAATTTTATTTGCTTTGTATTAAATGTTTGCTTGCAGTCCAGGGTTTCAGGGGTTCTGCAGAAAGGTGGCTTCCTTTGGTTGCAGTCGTAGGGCAAGTCACCTTTCCATCATCATTAAGTTTTGGTTCTGCCCCTTGCTCAGGGAAGGGAGCCATTTTTAGTTAGTCTCAGTAAGGAAAGCTAATGTAGAGAACGTGTACAAGCTTCTCCTGTACAAGAGCTACAACCCTTAAGACTCTCCGGGGGAGAACAGTCTTAAGAGCATCCAAAGATTTCCAGGGAAGCAGTCCTAAAGCTTCAAGGAATTTCGGAGGATAAATAGTTTTGGAAGACCAAAGAACTCCAGCTGGAGAATCTACTGGCCTTACTGGTAGGTCCACTCGGTGTTCGAGACGCAGTTCAACCCGGTAGCGGAGCCCACATCAGTAAGTATTAGATTATAGTCAGCCTGGGAGAAGTTAAAAAGGGGATTTTCCTTTAGAGTAAAGAATCCGTTTTTGAAGACAATTGCCTGTCCTTCGTGGACAAGATTAGGAAGCCACCAGTTGCATAAAAGCCTAGAATCATTTGTTTAACTTTCTGAAGTCAAGAGAAGTTTCTGTTTGATTGTTCATTAATACAGGACTTTGTTATACTTCACAAGACATCTAAAGATCATTCGTGGTGAAAAACCTCTGAGAACTTCTCTTCGGGGGGCCCTGGCTTCCTGCTGGACTCAAGTCGCATGTCCTATTTAAAGACAATTATTTACAGGCCCAGCATGCGACAGAACACAGCCTCTGTTTAAAATTGTCCAAAGAAGGAGCCTCCACCACACTCCGGGGCAGAGAGTTCCAATACTGAACAGCTCTCACAGTCAGGAAGTTCTTTCTTATGTTCAGATGGAATCTCCTTTCTTGTAGTTTGAAGCTATTGTTCCACGTCCTAGTCTCCAAGGAAGCAGAAAACAAGCTTGCTCCCTCCTTCCTGTGGCTTCCTCTCATATATTTATACATGGCTATCATGTCTCCTCTCGACTTCACTTCTTCAGGCTAAACATGCCCAGCTCTTTAAGCAACTCCTCATAGGGCTTGTTCTCCAGACCCTTGATCCTTTTAGTCGCCCTCCTCTGGACACATTCCAGCTTGTCAATATCTCTCTCCAATTGTGGTGCCCAGAATTGGACACAATATTCCAGGTGTGGTCTAAGCAAGGCGGAATAGAGGGGTAGCATTACTTCCCTAGATCTAGACACTATGCTCCTATTGATGCAGGCCAAAATCCCATTGGCTGCATGGAAGTAGCCTGGCTCTTGTTCCCTTTGAATTGTTTGCTGCCTAGAGGCATCCTGTGTCCGGGTAAGCCTCTAAGATCCCACTCAACACATAAAAATCTAGCTTCCTAATTGCACCTGACATGAGTTATTAAGATGGACAATGAAAAGGGTCTCAACAATACCCTCAATGCCCCTTCAGCTAGAAACGTCAGTCTGGAAAAGGGAAAGGTTTATATCCACTTGCTTCCCATACTCACCTGTTTCCCATAGGAGTCATGTACAGGTGAGACAATTCCACCAATGACAATGAACCTTCCTGTCTTGTGCAGATAGTCACGGGCTCTTTCTAGTGAAAGGGAGAAAAGAAAGGAGGAAAACAAGTAATTTTTTAAACTTGAAAATGATGGCAAAACCAAGCACAGATATGTTAGAATGTGTATCACAATTAGGACAATAGATCATTAATTAAAGTGAAATTAAAAAGGCAACGGCCCTCTCACATATCCTTGGTTAAGAAGAAGAAAATGAGCACACCCAGGGATCCGGTCTTAAAGTTACATGGGAGTTCTTATAATCATTAGTTGAAATAACCTTGCAAAGGCATTCAACACAGTGAATTGCAGTGCTTTCTGGACCATCCTCCAAAATATCGCATGCCCAAACAAATTTGTGAACATCCTGCGGCTCCTCCTTGATGACATGATGGCAACAGTCTTGGACAGCAATGGCTCCCAAAGTGACCCATTTAAGGTGGAATCAGGTGTAAACAGGGATGTGTTATTGCCCCAACTTTATTTTCCATCTTCATCGATATGATACTTCATCTTGTTGACGGGAAACCTTCTACCGGAGTGGAAATCATCTATCGGACAGATGACAAGCTATTTAACCTCAGCAGACTGAAAACCAAAACATCTGTTACAACAACATCTGTTATAGAACTCCAGTATGCTGATGACGTCATCTGTGCACATTCAGAAGACCTACAAGCCACTCTAAACAGCATGTGAGAAGCTCGGCCTGTCATTAAACATTGAGAAAACCAAAGTGTTCTTCCAGCAGTCCCCAGCCAATCCCTCTCCAATGCCAGAAATACAGCTTAATAGTGTAACATTTGAAAAAGTTGACCATTTCCGCTACCTTGGCAGCCACCTCTCCACAAAAGTCAACATTGACACTGAAATACAACACCACTTGAGCAATGCGAGTGCAGCTTTTTTCCCAATGAAGCAGAGAGTGTTTGAGGATCGGGACATCCGTAGGGATACCAAGGTGCTTGTTTATAAAGCTATTGTCCTCCCAACCCTGCTATACGCCTGTGAGACGTGGACTATCTACAGATATCACATGCAACTCCTAGAATGATTTCATCAGCGCTGCTTCCGAAAATCCTGCAAATCTCTTGGGAAGACAAGCAGACAAATGTCAGCATACTGGAAGAAGCAAAGACCACTGGTGATGGTCCTCCGCCATCAACTCCGCTGGACCAGCCATGTTGTCCGGATGCCCGACCACCATCTCCCAAAGCAGTTGCTCTACTCTGAACTCAAGAACGAAAAACGGAATGATGGAGAACAGGAAAAGAGATTTAAAGATGGGCTCAAAGACGACCTTAAAAACTCTGGAATAGACACTGAGAACTGGGAAGCCCTGGCCCTTGACCGCTCCAGCTGGAGATCAGCTGTGACCAGCAGTGCTATAGAATTTGAAGAGGGCGAAAGAGAGAAACGTGCCAAGAGGAAAGCACGTCAAGCCAACCCCGACCGGGACCGCCTTCCACCTGGAAACCAATGGCCTCACCGCGGGAGAAGATGCAGATCAAGAATAGGGCTCCACAATCACCTACGGACCCACCAGTACACTGATCTTGGAGGACTATCCTACTTGGACAAGGGATCACCTAAGTAAGTTGAAATGGAAATGGAGCTCTCCTTTAAACAGAAGATGTGGAAGGGCAACCACATTTATAGAATGAAAAGACTGCTGCCAGGAAAAATATTAGAATTATGCAGCCTTCCAGATGTTGTTAGACAGCAACTCCCAGCACTCTAGGAAGAAACGTTAGGATGTTTAGTCCAAGAACATCTCCAATGCTGTATGATTCCTACTTGTCGTAGATGACTAGTGCACCATAGCCCTGGCCTCCCATCACAGCCCATGATCACGACCCTCATGCCTATTTTTCCCTCTGCTACAGCGTAATTGATAGTCCTCCGTCTATAACTGGCTTACAATTAAATCTAACACTGAAACCTCCAGGAGTTATCAGCAGTACAGCACTTCTTCCAACAAGGAAAAAATTGCAGATGAATATTACATACAAATTAATGGGTGGCAGATTAACCTGTCCTCATTTTGTATTTCTAAATCTGGCACTGTGACGTTGGGACACGGTTTTGCATTTAATTGTCTGCTGGCACTGAAGGAACTGTGGAATGCTTTTCTTTAAAAAAAAAACGCCCACAAATCCTTATCCTACTGACACAGTTTGCTTCGTAATGAATCCAGGCCAGCAGCCACACAGCTGGGATGTGACAAACCTGGATGCTACACCATAATCTCCAAACTTCTGAGAGGTAGAAGTAGATAGTGGTAATTTTAAAACCAGGATGGTGAAAGGAGCTGATCAGTTGAAGCTGCATTGATCCATTGAAGCTGGCCTAGAGCTTTTATATGGGAAGGCAGGGGGACATTATGCAGCTCAAGGGAGCTGGGGTGTGGGTACAGAAAATTAAGCTGCACATTTTAAGTATAATAGAATCATGGAGTTGGAAGAGACCTCATGGACCATCCAGTCCAACCCCCTGCCAAGAAGCAGGAATATTGCATTCAAAGCATGCCCGACAGATAGCCATCCAACCTCTGTTTAAAAGCTTCCAAATAAGGAGCCTCCAACACATTCTGGGGCATAGAGTTCCACTGCTGAACGGCTCTCACAGTCAGGAAGTTCTTCCTAATGTTCAGATGGAATTTCCTTTCTTATAGTCAGTCTTTCAGTCTTTTGGGAAAAGGTTAACAACAAGCTACACAAATTGGTTGGAAGCTCACTCTGACCTGGGCTGGCTTCGAACTCATGACCTTTCGGTCAGTAGTGATCTTAATGCAGCTGACTCCCAGCCAGATGCACCACAGTCCCGACAAAATCAACCCAACCCCCCAGCAACCCCACCAGTATTCAATTTTCAGTATATCAGGTATTTCTGCCAAATTTGGTCCAGTGAATGTAAATATACCCTGCGTACGAGGGGTATTTTTTAAGTAAGGCCCGTTTTGTTGTAGACACTAGTAGTTCGCGTGCATACCGCAACGAGCGTGTGCGTCGTGTACCGGCATGCCTCGGGAACAACTGTGCTCAGTGTAGCTAACCTGTACGGTTCTGTTCTGTGCTTTAAAAATGTTTAAGACTATCAACTCACCCTCCGCATGTGAGGTTCGCTCAGTGATACAGTTTTCGTCAGCAAGAAACCTGCCTGCTGCAGAAATTCATCGACAGATTTGTGAAGTGTACGGTGAGACTGTTATGAGTGAAAGCAAAGTGCGTAAGTGGGTACGACAATTCAAAGATGGCCGTGACAACGTCCATGATGAGGACCGCTCCGGTCGCCCTTCTTTGATTACAGTGAACTCTTGGTTATCGGAGCAGGCGGCAAGTTTTTATGAAGAGGGTATTTTAAAATTGGTTCAGAGGTATGATAAGTGTTTGAACAAACTTGGCAACTATGTCGAAAAATAGAGTGAAGTATGTACTTTCTGAAAATAAATTTACTTTTTTGAAATAAACTTTCATTGTGTACTTATGTTCCAACGGACCTTACTTTAAAAATACCCTTCATATTTACATAATAATAATAATAATAATAATAATAATAATAATAATAATACACTTTATTTATAACCCGCCACCAAAGGGGACTCGGGGCGGCTAACATGAGACCAAGCCCAAAATAATACAACATAATAAACACACAATAACAAAATACATCATTACAAAATATTAAATAACAAAATCAACAATATAAAACCATAGTACGATTCATAACAGTAGCAATTTTTCAGTTATGAAGTAGCAATGAAAATAACTCACTGCTGCAGGAGTCTACCGTATACCATCCAGCTGTGGACCAGTCTACACAGGGACTACCAAAGGCAGCATTGCCCAAACACGAATCAAGGAGCATGAAAGGCACTGCAGACTACTTCAACCAGAGAAGTCAGCCATAGCAGAGCACCTGATGAACCAACCTGGACACAGCATATTATTTGAGAACACAGAAATGCTGGACCACACCAACAACCACCATGTCAGACTACACAGAGAAGCCATTGAAATCCACAAGCATGTGGACAATTTCAACAGAAAGGAGGAAACCATGAAAATGAACAAAATCTGGCTACCAGTATTAAAAAGCTCTAAAATTACAACAGCAAAACAACAGACAGGAAACAATCTGGGGCACCTACTCACCTCTCAACAAAAGATTGCCCCAGGCACTGCCAGATCATCAAATGCTAATCAAGGTGGTCAGTTCAAACATTCACACCTAGATCCAACAGTCAAGAGTCCTTTGCCCCACCCAGGTCATTCCAAAGATATATAAACCCATTTTCCTACTTCCAACAGACCTCACTACCTCTGAGGATGCTTGCCATAGATGCAGGCGAAACGTCAGGAGAGAACGCCTCTAGAACATGGCCATATAGCCCGAAAAAACCTACAACAACCCAGTATTCCGGCCATGAAAGCCTTCAACAATGCAAAGCAGTCATTGTTATTCCTGATTATTCCAAAGTGCCTTCAATGATTGAATGTAAGATACTCCCTGACCAACTTTGCACAAACTGACCTCAGAAGCACTTTATTTTATGGTTTGTGCAATTAAATCCTTCCTTATCCCTGGATCCTCCTCCCCGATAATTTACATTGTCCTATCTCCCAGCATTTTAAAATTTTATCTTTGAATTTGGCCCTGCCCAGTGAAACTCTTTTGTGTTTTAATAGTTGATTTTATATTATTGTATCGTTTATTATATTGGCTTTTTTATTTTATGTATTTTATTTTCCTGATTTGTTATGCTTTTGTGTTATATTGTGTGTGTTGTACTGATGGGCGTGGCCTCATGTAAGCTGCACCAAGTCCCCCTGGGGGAGATGGAGCGGGGTATAAATAAAGTATTATTATTACTATTATTATTATTATTATTATTATTATTATTATTATTATTATTATTGTATTATCGAAGGCCTTCATGGCTGGAATCACTGGTTGTTGAAGATTTTTCGGGCTATGTTCTGTCGCACGCTGGGCCTGAAAAGAATTTCCTTTAGAACAGGACGTGCAACCTTTG